GGCGCGATCTCGGCTCACCGCAACCTCCGCCTCCTGGGTTCAGGCAATTCTCCTGCCTCAGCCTCCTGAGTAGCTGGGACTACAGGCACGCGCCACTATGCCCAGCTAATTTTTTGTATTTTTAGTAGAGACGGGGTTCCACCATGTTGACCAGGATGGTCTCGATCTCTTGACCTCGTGATCCACCCGCCTCGGCCTCCCAAAGTGCTGGGATTACAGGCTTGAGCCACCGCGCCCGGCCGGTTTTCTTTATCTCACCTTATAAAAGTATCTTCTTCAAGCCCTTCCTATAGACGACAAACTACAAACCACAGCTGGGTACTCCACAATTTTTGAAATATTCTTTGATTAAATTCTGTAATATTTTTGCGGTGACTTCTCTATATTTTTAATAGGAGAAAAGACGGACTCAGAACCCCACAGACCAAAGCTTTTCCCATTCATGAACCTGTTAGGCCTCCAAGTCCAAGGCTGGCCATTACAGCTTTGGTGACCCACATATACAGTTCTAGTTGGCCCCCAGGAGCCAGAAAGTCTGAAGTAATCCCAAGTAACCAGGTAGCCACAGAAAGAAGTAAAACAGGCCGGGCGCGGTGGCTCAAGCCTGTAATCCCAGCACTTTGGGAGGCTGAGGCGGGTGGATCACAAGGTCAAGAGATCGAGACCATCCTGGTCAACATGGTGAAACCCCGTCTCTACTAAAAATACAAAAAATTAGCTGGGCATGGTGGTGCGTGCCTGTAATCCCAGCTACTCAGGAGGCTGAGGCAGGAGAATTGCCTGAACCCAGGAGGCGGAGGTTGCGGTGAGCCGAGATCGCGCCATTGCACTCTAGCCTGGGTAACAAGAGTGAAACTCCGTCTCAAAAAAAAAAAAAAAGAAAGAAGTAAAACAACTTGTTACTGCCTCAAACTTGCTCTGCAACCTGTAACCATCGTTCCTGTTCAGCCTTACAAAAATTTCCCCCTGGACATTGGGTTTCTCAAAACCCCCACCCCTGTAACTACGTAATCCATTGCACCGTCCCTTTTGACTGCAACCGATACTCCCCACCCTTATGATCATGCCTGTTTGTAATAAATGACCCTACCCTTGTGATCATGCATCCTGTGATGCCGATCCCCTCCCCAAGATAAATTTCCAACCCCTACTCTTGTAATCATGCATTTTGTGATGTCCTCCCCCACCCCAAGAGAGATTTCCACCTTTAGCTGAGCATTTGCCCCAACCTATATAACCAATTCCCTCTCCTACCCCCTTTGCCTACCCGTTTCTTGGACTTGGCCCCCTTGCACTCAAGCGCAAAATAAACGACCTTGTTTTCCCCACAAAGCCTGCCTGGTGGTCTCTTTACGTGAGCGACACGTGTGACAAAACCCGCAACTCGAGTCAGGATTTTCCCTTGACGACCCTTCGGTCGTCCCTGCACAATCTAGGAGAGACCTGGCGCTGAGGGTGCAGAGCTGCCCGGAGAGGGCCTCAGGCCAGGGCACAGTCACTACACAGGCAAGAGACAGAACGCCCTGGCCAGCTGTCAGTGCAGCTGCCGTCTTATAGCTGAAGGGACTGAGGCCCAGTTGGGCAAAGAGAACTGAGGCGCACATTGTGGGGCTGACTGCGGGGAGGCCTGAGTCCTGCCACAGCCACTTCCCGCCGGTTCCAACTAGCCCATTCCCGCTCTCTTGGGATATCGGACCCGGTATTCTCACCATTTCTAGGCTTCCGGGAGGTCCTGGCGTTTTAGCTGTGGTTCTCCCAATACCTGCAGGTCACAGGGCCATAGAACTGGGCCTCCTGGAACAGAGGACACAGAGCGGGGAAGACGAGACCCGGAGCTCCCGCCGCAGCCAGAGACAAAGGCCCCGCCAAACCCGGAAGCCGCCGTGTCCGCTCCAGCTGCATGTCTGATTGGAAGGTTTCCAGCCCGGCGTCCCTGATTGGAAGACGTTTAAAGCCCCGCCCCTTCAGGCCCTGAATGACAGGTGATGTGTTTAGATGTTGGACTGAAAGAAGAGGCAGTAACAGCCTCAGCTGCAGCGTTTTCATGGAGTGCTTCCTCCCTGAGCGGAGCCAGACCCACCCCAGATGGTATTTGCATTTAATCTTGTGCATAAGGTCTCATGCGTTTATACATAATACATTATATGGCCGGGCACGGTGTGTCATGCCTGTAGTCCCAGCTACTCGGGAGGCTGAGGCAGGAGAATCGCTTGAATTTGGGATGTGGAGGTTGCAGTGAGTCGAGATAGCACCTCTGCACTCCAGCTGGGTGACAGAGTGAGACTCTGTCTCAAAAAAACAAAACAAAACAAAAAAATAAAAGAAAAAAATTATATGATATTCACAAACAAAAATAGTAACAATTATTTTAAAATTTCAGCTTTTATGACCTTCCTGGCTTCTTTTTTTTCATCAGGCTGAGATTTGAAGAAGGAGGCACTCTTCTGAAATACAATGTGAGCCAAATGTGAATTTTAAATTTTCTTTTCTTTTTTTTTTTTTTAAGATGGGGTTTCACCATGATGGCCAGGCTGGTCTTGAACTCCTGACCTCAGGTGATCCACCCACCTCGGCCTCCCAAAGTGCTGGGATTACAGGTGTGAGTCACTGTGCCCAGCAAATTTTAAATTTTCTAGTAGTCAAACTTTAAAAAGAAAGAAGAGCAAGACTCCCTCTCAAAAACAAAAATTTTAAAAAATTTAAAAATTAAAATTGAAAGAAGAAACAGGTCAAACTGATTGTAACAATTTAAGTAACCCAATATATCCAAAATATTATATGAGCAATGTGTAATTATTAATATAGCATGTATATATTTGGAACTATATCTTTGAAACAAAGTCTGTATTTTGCCTTTCTAGCACATCACAGTGTCGCCCCAGCCACATTCCAGGCACTCAGAAGTCACACATGACCAGTAGCTGCCACACTGAAGTGGGGCAGTGAAGGGCCTGAAGAAATTTATTCTGCCAGTGTGAAGGAAGGGCCTCTTCCTAATGACGTCTCCCTTCAGTTTTGAGGATGGAAAAGATAGTGGCCAAAGAAAGAGTGGAGGGCAGCAGGAATAAAATAATCACACGTAGACAACTGCTGGCCACCTGTGGCCCACCTTCCTTCCAGAGATCAGACAGTGAACAAAAGACGATAGGGCCAAAGGAGATGAAAACTCTAAGTCTTCACATCTGTACACACTCTTGACCAACAATGTTTATATATGGAGAAAATAGATTAAATACAAACATATTTTCCTATTTGGTCTCAAACATAATGATCAGGCCTCCCAGATTCAAGCGATTCTTGTGCCTCAGCCTGCAGAGTAGCTGGGATTACAGGCATGTAGCACCATGCTCAGCTAATTTTTTTTGTTGTTGTATTTTTAATAGAGTTGGGGTTTTGCCATGTATGCCAGGCTGTTCTTGAACTCCTGGCCTCAAGTGACCCACCTACCTCAGGCTCCCAAACTGCTGTAATTACAGTCATAAGCCACTGTGCCTGGCTATGATATATTTTTACATTTATGGTTTAGACGTGTTTTTCTTTGCCCAGCCCCTGCCAAAATGTGGGATGATGACATACTCCTGGACCTAGCACCTAGGTAATTCTGACACTTGTATTTTGCATAGGTCCCACATACTTTGAGCACTGTGACATATCACTAGACCAAACACCTGGAAGATGGGAGGTACCTGTCTATGCCCTGTAAACAGGGCGTGAGCCTACCATTCTCAGGAGCCTCATGACATCTCTCTGCATTCGTCACCTAGGAGATGTGACTCTCCTCTGCTGCCTGCATCCTGCCCACAGGAAAGATTGTGGTATAACATTTGGCTCAGCAGCAGGGTGATGTGTTTTCTTTTCCTGGATCTTGCTCACAGGGAGCATTGTGGCATGTCACTGGGCACAGCACTCATGTTCTGGGTGGTTCCCTGGCCAAGAACCCAGGTGAGGGGACTCTTCTTTCTGGTTTCTGCTATGAAAAAAGATTGCGACATATCTCTGGTCTAGCACCAAAATGATGTAACTGTCTTGCTCACTCTCTATGCACAGGTGGGACTGTAAAGTATATTTTTGTTCAGCTCATAGGTGAGATAATAACTCTCATACCTCAAATCAACAAAATGTGCGGGCAGGACAGTCACATCACCTGAGTACTCAGCCAGTGATATGTTACAAGTTCCTTCTTTTTTTTTTTTTGAGACGGAGTTTCACTCATGTTACCCAGGCTGGAGTGCAATGGCGCGATCTCGGCTCACCGCAACCTCCGCCTTCTGGGTTCAGGCAATTCTCCTGCCTCAGCCTCCTGAGTAGCTGGGATTACAGGCACACACCACCATGCCCAGCTCATTTTTTGTATTTTTAGTAGAGACGGGGTTTCACCATGTTGACCAGGATGGTCTCGATCTCTTGACCTGGTGATCCACCCCCTCGGCCTCCCAAAGTGCTGGGATTACAGGCTTGAGCCACCGCGCCCGGCCGGTACAGTTTCCTTCTAAAAGCAGGGCACAGTCGGCATAGTCATATCACCTAGTTTCTGGAACCAGCAATATCTCACAGTGCTTTCTGGGGGGCAATGCCCAGGCTGGAGAGACACATGACCCAGTTGTTGGACCCAGAGTTATGTCACAATCTTCCCTGAAGGCAGGGTGCAGGCAGAGGAGAGACACATCCCCCGGGTGATTGATAGATGCAGGGAAATACCAAAAAGCCCTCTGTAGTCAGGTCCAAGGCAAAAGTCTCTCATCTCCTAGGTTTTGGACCCAGCAATATGTCACAATAACAAAATTATGCAAGGCCCAGGTAAAAGAAGAGAATTACATCATTATGTGCTTGGTCCCGTGATAAGTCAGTATCCTTCTTTTTGTCAGGACCCAGAAGGAAGGCATGAGTCACATCACCTAGGTAACTAACATGACGTGATAATGCCCCAGTGGGCAGGGCCCATACAGGAGACTCACATGACCTAGACATTGCACCCAGCCATGCCACAATAGCAATGTATGTACAGCCCAGGGAGGAGAGGGACATCACATAACCTGGGCCCAGTGACACATCACAATTTTTTATTGGACAGAACCCAAGCAGCAGAGAAGAGTCATATCACTTAGTTGCTGGGTCTGACAACATATAACAATACACCCTGAGGAGATCAGGCAAGAGAGTCACATTACTTAGGTGATGGGTTCAGATATGTTATAATGCCCCCAGGTGAGCAGGGCTAAGGAGCAAGAGAAACGTCACATAAACTAGAGCCCGGGCCAAGCTATATGTCGCAATCACTCCAGTGGGGAGCACCGAGGTATGAGAGGAGAGTCACATCACACAGGAGCTGGACCAAGCAATATGTAGCAATCTCCACTTTGAACAAGTCTGAAAATAAGAAGGGTCACATCAACTAGGTGATGAACCCAGAAACATGTCAAAATGATTCCTATGAGGAACATCAGGTAGAAATATTACATCATGAGTGCTGCGCTTAGTGATAAGTCATTATCCCTTCTGTGGGCATGGTCCAGGCAGAAGGAAAAAGTCACATTGCCTCGGTGCTGGGCCCAAAGTTATGTCACAATATCTTCCATGGAGAAAGCCTAGGCAAGACAGAAGAGACACATCAAATAGTTGATGGGCCCAGAGGTATATCACAATGCCCTTGTGAACGGGGTCCAGGCAGAAGACACAGCAACCTGCTGTTGGGACCAGCAATATGTCTCAATGCTTTTTGAGCACAGGGCCAAGGCAAAAGAGCAACATCACCTTGGTGTTGGGCTCAGTGATGTGTCACAATGCTCCCCATGGGCAAAACCTAGAAATAAGAGAAGACTCACATCGGCTAGGGGCTGGAGCTAGCAGTCTCTTTCAATACCCCCCTGTAAGCAGAAAACAGGCAGGAAAAGAGAGTTAGGTCACCTGTGTGATGGGCACAGAGATGTGTCACAATCCTTTCTGTAGATAGGACCTAGGCAAGAGAGTTACGTTAGACCCAGCAATATGTCACAGTGGTCCATGTGGGCAAGGCACAGGCAGGAGAGTCACATAACCTGGTTATGGTTCCCCTGTGTTAGGTGCAGTAATATGTCACAGTGCTCCCTGTGAGGAGCGCCAAGGCAGGAATAAATTTACATCACCTAGATCCTGGGTTCAGTGATGTGTCACAATCCAGTCTGTGGACTGAGCCCACGCAGGAGAGTAAAAAAACTCAGGTGCCGGACAGAGGCGTGTCACGATCACAGCTACAGGAAGGTCCATAAATGAGATTAACCATTCTGCACATGTTGAGGTTCCAGGTATGAGAATTAACATCTCCTTTATGTTGGATCTATGTTCTGGAGTCGCAGTCTCAACCATGGACTTGATCTGTGCATGAGACCTTCAACCCATCCTCTAGACTGTGTCTTCTTAGTGGGCTCACAGTCTCTCAAGTCTCAGGTATGTTCAATCTTGGTCTGAGAGTCACCAGCTTACCTGTAGACTTGATTCAAGAATGAAAGTCAATTTTTGGCTGGGTGTGGTGGCTCACGCCTGTAATCCCACCACTTTGGGAGGCCGAGGTGGGTGGATCACCAGGTCAGGAGTTCAAGACCAGTCTCACCAACATGGTGAAACCCCGTCTTTAAAAAAAAATTAAAAAAATAAATAAAAAATAAAAATAAAAAAGAAGGTCAATTTTTCAACTTTTGAAACATTATTATTATTATTATTATTATTATTATTTTGAGATGAGGTTTAGCTCTTGTTCAGGCTGGAGTACAATGGCATGATTTTCGCTTACCACTACCTCAGCCTCCTGGGTTCAAGCAGTTCTCGTGCCTCAGCCTTCTGAGTAGTTGGGATTACAGGTGTGTGCCACCACGACCAGCTGATTTTGTATTTTTAGTAGAGATGGGGTTTCTCCATGTTGGTCAGGCTTGTCTTAAACTCCCGACCTCAGGTGATCTGCCTGCCTCAGCCTCCCAAAGTGCTGCAGTTACAGGCGTGAACCACCATGCTGGCCTTTTCTGTTGGTTTTGAGATTCCGAATCTCAACAGTGGGCTGCGGAAGGATGATAATCATTATTGCCAGCTGGGTCTGCATATAAGTGTCACAATCTCACCTGTGTGTTGAGATGTGTTAGGACATTTTCTGTCCTACTTGAGGGCTTTATACTGTATGCATAAGATTTGCAATCTAGTCTGAGACCTTTATGCTGGTATGGACCCATGATCATACCTCAGGTATGAGAGTCAACATGTCTCCAGTTGGCTGGATCTAGATAACAGAGTTCTATCTGCTATGAGCTGATTTAGAAATGTTTTACCACTTCAACTCTGGCTGGATATTCACATATGACCGTCACAATTTCAACTGTGGACTGTATTCAGTTATGAGATTAAGAACCTCCGCAGCGAGCTCTGTGTGGGTGGGTTCCAATCCTAAGGGTTGCTGTGTTATGCATGTGAGAAACACACCTCACCTGTGTGCTAGGGTCTATGATGACACTGTCTGTACCATCCAAGAGCTTTACACAGTACGCAAGTGAATGCCAATTCTGTATGGTCTTTATGAAGAGAAGACCCAGAAACTTATGTGGTTGCCAAACCTTGCAAAGAGACACAGACTCTCTGCTATTGGCTGGTTAAATGTATGATAGTCATTTTTTTTTCTTTTTGAGATGGAGCTTTGCTCTGTCTGTGTAAGGTTTATTGCCGAGGTAAAATGAGGAAACTGAGGCAGGTATAAGAAAATGAGAAGCCAATTTAACCCCCGGGCGAGGTTCTACGGTTCAGATAAGGGGCCAGAGAAGTAACGACCCGCTGGGCGGGGCTTTATAGGGAATGGAGGCAATTGATTGGCTATTGGGGAAACAAAGCGAAGGCAGTTTCGTTGGCTATAGGGAAAGAGGACGTGCACGGGCGAGCTGTCATTGGTAGGCGGGCGGGACTTTGGGTAAGCGGGCCGGCCGGGGCGTATGGGGCCGACTGCTGTTGGGCAGGGTTTAGTGGGGATTCTTTAAATTTTTTTGGCGGGGTTTTCCAACGGCGGGCTGGGAATTGAGTGCATAGTTTGGTGCTGAGTGTGGGCTTGGGTATGGTATGCAGAGGCGGGTGCGGGGAAGCCATGTGGCGAGGCCAGATAATGAGCTTGGGGTGATGACGGAGTTATCAGGAGCGGAGAGGGGTGGGTGTGTCCATTTAGCTCCCGCGAGGCAACCAGCCTTACAGTTTGCTCAGAGTGGCCTGCAGTGGCGCGATCTCGGCTCAGCTCAGGGAGGAGTCTGTCCTTGAAAAGGCTGCTGCTTAGGCTGTCATTCAGTCTTCATTCAGCCCAGCATCTGATCACATCTCCTGTCATTCAGGGCCTGAAGGGGCAGGGCCTTCAACGTTATCCAATCAAGGACGCTGAACTGGAAACCGTCCAATCAGACACGCAGCTGGAGCGGGACAGGGCGGCTTCCGGGTTTAGCGGGGCCTTTGTCTCTAGCAGCCGTCGTAGCTGAACGCCTCGTCTTTCCTACCCTGTGTCCTCTGCTTGTAGAGGTCCAGCCTCTGTGACATTGTGACCTGCAGGTATTGGCAGATCCACAGCTATGACGCCAGGACTCCCTGGAAGCCTAGAAATGGTGAGAGTGCCGGGTCCGATCCCGAGAGAGAGAGGAAGGAGCTGGTTGGCACCGGTGGGAAGTGGCTGTGGCGGGACTCAGGCCTCTCCAAAGAGGGCTCCGCCATGTGTGTCCGGAGTTCTCTCCTAACTTGGCCTCAGTCCCCTTCAGCCATAAGATGGCAGCTGCGCTGACAGCCGGCCCCGGGCTTCCTGTCTCTTCCCTGCGCAGTGACTGTGCCCTTGCCTGGAGCCCTCTCTGGGCAGCTTTGCTCCCGCAGCGCCCTGTCCCAGATTGTGCAGGGACCACGGAAGGGTAGACACAGGAGAATCCTGACTCGTGTTGCGGGTTAATGAATGGGAAGAGCTTTGGTCTGTGGGGTTCTGAGTCCTTCGTTTCTCCTATTAAACATGTAGAGAAGTCACCGCAAAAATATTAAAGAATTTAATCAAATAGTAATTAAAAAATTGTAGCGTACTCAGCTATGGTTTGTAGCTTGTCGTCCTGTGAGGTTGACCGAAAGGATGGAGAAGCAGACCCAGGGTCAGGTTTAGCAAGTTTATTTCAACCTGCCAGGCTGGCTGCTTCACCACAGGCAGTGATGGCAGCAGCCTGGCTTACAGACTGTGGGGGTTATATAGAAAGTTTGCAGGTGGATGGGTGGTATTCTAAGAAAAACTGCCTTTTAGTTCTTAAGTGCTAACATCCTGCTTAATTGAGTCACCATCCTGGATTCGAGAGCCTGGTGCGACCACATCCTGGAACCCAGGTGCGCTGTTTGCAAGGTGTGAGGCTGTTTTTGCTGTGAACTCGGCTTAGCAAGGGAGAACGGGGAGGGGGTCTATGGAATTGCCTTGCTGTGACCCTAACACATCCATAGAAGGGGCTTGAAGAAAAGACTTGTATAAGGTGTGATAAAGAAAACCAAATTCAATTAATTGGTTAGGTACAGTTACATAGTGTAAGGGTTACTGCCGAGTTTAAGATGAGGAAACAGGCCAGTACAAGAAAATTGCATGCCAGTTTATTCAGCTCCTGGGCGAGGTTCTATGGCCCGGGGAAGGGGGTCCAGAGAAGTCGCGCGGACTTCCTGGGGCCTGGGGTTTTTATGGCTCTGAGGAAGGAGCAACAGTCGGGTGCTCTCATTGGCTCCAGAGGAGCGGGATTGGGACTGGGCGGGCTGCTACTGGTTGTCGGGTTGTCCAGTGGGTTTTCCAGTGCAAGAGCCGGTCAGGGTTGCATCAGCCCGAGCTTTTTGGTTTGGTTTCTTGTCCCTGGAGTTCACAAGGTACTCCGAATGAGGCCGCCAGCCTTGCACATAATTTCTTAATTTGTTCAATCAAGGTGGTCATTTCCTGGTTATGTATGCAGAGGTTAATTGGCAGTTTATTTGGCTAAGCCTCAGTTTTGTTTCCCCCAATTCAGTAATTTATAAAAACATGTATTTGAGTTAGATTTCTTTTTTTTTTTTTTTTTTTTTAAAGGTGGGATTTCACCATGATTGCCAGGCTGATCTTGAACTCCTGACCTCAGGTGATCCACCCACCTTGGCCTCCCAAAGTGCTAGGATTACAGTCATGAGCCACCGCGCCCAGCCGAGTTAGATTTCTTTTTTTTTTTTTTTTGAGACGGAGTTTCGCTCTTGTTACCCAGGCTGGAGTGCAATGGCGCGATCTCGGCTCACCGCAACCTCCGCCTCCTGGGTTCAGGCAATTCTCCTGCCTCAGCCTCCTGAGTAGCTGGGATTACAGGCACGCACCACCATGCCCAGCTAATTTTTTGTATTCTTAGTAGAGACGGGGTTTCACCGTGTTGACCAGGATGGTCTCGATCTCTTGACCTCGTGATCCACCCGCCTGGGCCTCCCAAAGTGCTGGGATTACAGGCTTGAGCCACCGCGCCCGGCCAATTTTACCATGTTAGCCAGGATGGTCTCGATATCCTGACCTCCTGATCCCCCTGCCTCAGCCTCGCAAAGAGATTACAGGCGTGAGCCACTGCACCTGGCAGGCACAGAGGTCTTATCAGAATGTTTTTGGGTTAAGGGTTCCCTTTGGAAACTATGAGGTGAGATGTCTTCAACCACCCTTTAGTTTTGTTCTTGGTCCTGGGCTTCAGTACTGTCTGGGGATAAATCAGGATATCCATCATGGCTGTGTCTGCTGGAGTATCTGGTGGATATCGGCTCCTGGTCATTTTAAATTTTTTTTTATAAATAGCAAAACCTGAGTTATGGAGTGTAGCCTCTTAAGAGGGTGGCTGCACCAGGGCTGAGAGGAGTCTCCTTTTGTCATTCTTTTTCAAAGATATTAAGATTGTCATCACCCAACCCAGCTTCCATTTCTTAGAGACACACTGCTGTTAAGCCAATCAGAAGCTGGTAAAAAACACAGAAATAATTTCTGCCCCTTGGATTCTCTAAGGGAGCAGAGAAATAGTGAAATTAAAAATAGTGAAAATTTTGTGAAAGATAAAAGTTTTGGCCGGGCGCGGTGGCTCATGCCTGTAATCCCAGCACTTTGGGAGGCCAAGATGGGTGGATCACCTAAGGTCAGGAGTTCGAGACCAGCCTGGCCAACATGGTGACACCCCATCTCTAATAATTTTAAATTAAAAAAAAAAAAAAAAGTT